AACGAGACGAAGAGAATGGTACCTTTTGTGATGGCTAATTCGCCGTGGTTTGGCCGGAAAACGGTTCGAAAGTGGCTAACTCAAGACCAAGACAGCCACTTTCAAGCCATTTTCCGGCCAAACCACGGAAATTTAGCCATATAGAAAGGTACCATTCTCTTTTTCTTGTCGAGAAGTATGGTTTTCATTTTCGAATCACTCGATTTCGTTGAGTATTGAAGAAGTTAGAACGTCTAAAGTTTACTCAGTTTCCGGCGAGTTTTCCAATTTTCCAAAGGACCAGTCGCCTTTCAGGCTATTTTCCGGCCATCTTCAGTAACCATTGGGCTTCCAAATAGGTATAATCTTATTCTACACTTTCCTATCTTTATTTTGATATATTATGTGTCGAATTTGGTTAAGAAATGAATGAGTTACAAAGCTTTGAAAATTGTCCAAATTTTTGGCCAAGAGCTCCAGGACACTTAGCGGAACGGAAGGACCAAAATAATAAATAGTGGACAATCTCAGAGACCATTTCTATTGATTTTCAATCTCAGGAACTAAAGTGATGTGTTATGTAAATCTCAGATACCATTTTGGGTAAAAAGCCTTTTTATTATGTATCATTGCGTGAAAGACTTTTAATACAATAGAAAAAATACACACTTACAATAAAGAAAATAATAATATAACCAAGCATCAAAAACCAACCTGCAGGAAGATAAAAATCTAAAAACAATTGAAAAGGCTAAGAATTTATCTAAAAAACTTTCATGGAAGATGAAAATGATCCATCGTAAATCTAAAACACTGAACAATAAATAAACAGTTCCTTACCATTATTTACCACAATTGTATAGATTTAATTTATAATTTAATTTTTGTGTGCTAGATGTAAAGAAAAACGAAAAAGACACATATAGCTATGCTTATAAATCCACTTCATAGACACAAAGATTTTCATGTCTATATTTAGTCAAAAAGTTGTCAAGTCGATCCCATTTCTCACGATTCACGTGCCCATTAATGTTTTGTGTTCTTTTTTTACTTTGGGCACGATATGCGGTGCCCTGTGTGGAATGCATTGTTTCACACTTAAGAGACACAAAATCCTCATTTGTGGCCATTTTGTACTACGGTCTAGTGATAATTCTCTTCATTTGTAAGTGAGATGTCTTAGGTTCTATTCTCGCCAAAGATAAAGTCAAACCATATTATTATGGCAAACCCATTGTAAAGTTTAGCCCGCTTCCCCACCCATTAGTATAGAAACTATTGTTTGTTAAAAAAAAAAAAAGAAAAAAAATCTTCATTTGTGTCCTTAATTTTGTACCCAAAGCCCATTATTCTTGTAGCATTGATAATCTTGTTGATTAACTAGAAATAAGTCGTTCGAAAGTTAAAAAAAATACTATCATAAAGAACTTCCCAACAATAAGGCTATAAATTAGGGAGATAAATGTTGTGGGAAAAAAAAAATTCCAAAAATCTTGGAAGCGACACGTGGATTTTTAGTCAAGAAAAACAAGATTACCCCTCGTTAAATGGGCAAGGCTCTCAAGCGTCCCTACACACAACTCAACATCATTGGAAGTTCAAGCAGTTGACTATTACTTCTCAAAGCTTCCCTGCTCGTGGCATGGAAAATTCAAAGGTATTAAAGATAGAGATTAAATATCAAATCCTATCTTTAATATATTCTCAATTGAAGACAAACTCTTTCAAGTAAGTAATCGTAATCACACTTTTACAACTAATTTCAGTTGGTGATCGTACAACTAATTTCAGTCGGTGATCTTGTGAGTAGATGTGCGGCAGGCAGACTGCTTTTCTATTGAAGGTGTGACATCGACTGAAGAACGACAAATTGTTCTTCTTGGTTGAATTGGAGTCGACGAGTCGAGTAAGAAGATGAATATAGTAATCTTATTCAATGATCAGATTGGGTTTTGGCGGTGGAAGATGCAAACTAGCAAGATACCAGGAAATAAGAGATTTGTAGGTCCTACGAATTGATCTCTCTAATTCTATTTGGTGGGTGCAATTTACAAGTAATCAGGGAAGGAGATCATGTTAAGCGATATGGATTTTTAATTGAGGCAATATGGGATATTTAAGTAAAAGTCTCCTGTTTTATTGGGAGATTTGAATGCCTACAAGTTACAGTCGGGTAGAATGGATATAAAAGGCAGTTGAGAGCAGACGCAGAGGGGGGTTCTACAGGATTCTTCTTCTGGCGTGAAACAGAGAGAGGAGAGGCAGAGCAGAAATTCGATTTTTTTTTTTTATTTTTTATTTTTTTTTTTCAGTTTAGCTTCTATGCAATTTATTTTCCATAGAACTACTATGAATTCTTCATTCAACGGGTTCTAAACTCTTAGCTAAGGCTAAGAGGAAGCCTTAATTATGATTACTCTAGTTATTTGATTGTTTAATTCGTGGATTTCAAATTGATGATTAGTTTTCATTCACTAGTGAAGCTGCAATTTTGATATTTGGTTCTTTGTGCTTGACCATAGCCTAGGATTTTGATATTGAAATTATTTGTATATGAATTTATTTCTGACCATAAATTAGATTCTATTGATCCTTTATGAATGAGAATCATAAACTTATATTTTGATCCGACCGTAGACGAATATTAGTTTGTGTGGCTTCCTAAAAAATTAGCTATTTGTTTGACGTGACCAAGTTGATAAGTGGCTAATTTGTTTCTCACTTTGTTTAATTGGATTTCTACATGTTTGTGTATACTAAACCATGGATATAGACACTGTAGGAGTAGTTGAGTTTAAGCCTGATCACGGCAAAACTCACATCTGTTTGGGAAATTATTGGCATGTGTACCTAACCACGGACATATGTATAGAAGTTGTTTTCATTAATTTGATAATTCATGAGTTGACAATTGGATATTGGGGTATGACAATTAGTGGTGGAATCAAAGCCTTAATGTATTCTTACATTTGTTCTCAATCATATTTCTGTTTAATCATTGTTAATTTTAATTATTCTTTGATACAAACCCAATCTTTATTTCAATTCGTTAAGTAATAGTTATAGGATTAAATTGTTAAATCAACTCCGGTGGATTCGATCTCGTATTTACATATTTCCACTACAATTGCAAGTAATTTGGTTTGAATTTATTTATTTATTAGGTTAGTTTAAATTCACATCATGAGACTTTTGGTTTTTGATGAAAGGTATTGATTATTTTGCAGGTACATTTTCATATAATACATGACTTCCATCACTCACCAATGAACGTGTACAACTAGTTATCCTTGTTTTCAGAAGCTAGGTAGTACACCCCCAAACACACAAAAATAACTGCAAAACTTGAGTTGGAGAGTCTAATCTAACACTGCAGAAGCTTCTCTTTTCCGTTGATAGGCTTAAGGCTTTCCTTTCCTTGGCGCCCAACCCAGCACACCACAGGTACCGTACATTAAAACCAAACAAACAAACTTTTCCATCAACAACTATCGATCAGTCACTAAGGCCGCCTATAAACATCTCTCTCTCTCTCGGACTCCATTCATTAATTCTAGCTAGTTCAAATGTTTCCTCTCTTGTTTCTGTGCTTGATCCATCATTGATCAAACTTGGCGACAAACTAACAATGGTTTCTCTTTATCATTACTCTAAACGCTACCCTAATTATGCCAATTCGTGGTGCTTTGTTTCGTTAGCTCTTATCACCCTCTTTGAGTACTACTCCAAACCCAAGTTTTGCAAAGAAATCATCGAAATCCGCTGCCAACATGATCGACAGTTGCTGGAGATGGAACTCAAATTGGGCAAGTAACCGGCAGGAACTTGCGTTGTGCTCCGTCGGATTTGCTGGGAAAATGACCAACAACGTAGGAAGCCATGTCACATTCTATCAAGTCACCGATCCGAGTGACAATGCATTACACCCAAATCCAGGAACTTTGAGATATGGAGCTACCATGATCAAAGGGAAAAAGTGGATCACTTTCCAGAGGGACATGCGAATTAAACTTGACAAACCACTGCTCATTAGTAGCTTCACTGCCGTTGATGGAAGAGGCGCTAATGTTCACATTGCCGGGAATGCATGCTTGACGGTCTTTTTAAGGCAAGCAACATAATCATCCACGGCCTTTGAATCCACCACTGTCGATCCCAACCACCAAGCTCGGTTATGGGTCCTGATGGAAAGCCATTTCCAGTAGGCCAAGTTGATGGAGATGCAGTCAGGTTAATTACTGCATCCAAGGTTTGGATAGACCACAATACTTTGTATGAGTGCGAGGACGGTCTTCTTGACGTTACTTGTGGATCAACCGATATCACCATCTCCAACAATTGGCTCAGAGAGCAGGACAAGGTTATGCTCCTTGGCCACGATGATGGGTACGTTCGGGACAAGAACATGAGAGTCACACTAGTGTACAATCATTTTGGACCCAACTGCAACCAAAGAATGCCAAGGTAATAAACTAACAACCTTTATTTACTATGAGCCTATGACAACCACACTCCAGGGAAGTCCCAAATTTCTAATAAACGTGATACGGTCACAGGATTCAATACGGATATGCACATGTGGTGAACAATTTGTACAGAAATTGGTCACAGCATGCAATCGGAGGAAGCATGAATCCTAGCGTTAAGAGTGAAGCCAAAACGAGGAAACAAGGAGGTATCTAGTGATATCCTAATCCTATCAAAAATGACGCAAAATAATTAAATGCTAATTCTGTGCACTATTTGTTCCCACACCACAGGTCACTTGGAGGAAGGTCAGCAACAGCATTGGAAGCAACAGCTCGTGGAAATTTCATTCTGTAGGAGATATTTTTGAAAATGAGGCTTCTTTCATCCAAACAAGCCTGCCTGTGGCTGGAGTAATGCCACAATATAATAGGCAACAAAATTTCCTGGTGGCTCATGCCAAAGCTGTCCGGTCATTGACAAGGACATCGGGTGCGCTAAGATGCACAAAAAACATCCAGATGCTAAGTTTTAAGGATTATGATGATGATCCATGACAGAAACCACCTCATACTCAGAGTACTCAGATACATATTACACCCTCTTTCTTTCCACTCTGTAACAAAAGTACCTACTATTTTTACTTCCACAAACAATGCATTCCGAAAAGAGTGGCGTTGAAAAAATGTGTTTGTAATAGAAAACATGCATAAGATATTAGTAATGAAGAAAGTTAACCAAAAATTTGCTGTCCAGAGCATGCCATTTTCTTCTTCAATCTTCTTCGTTGTCAGAACTCTCATAAGCTAAACCTAGCAAGCTTTTGGCTCTACTTTCCACCCTAGGCTCGCCTTCTGTTATGTTTGATGATGACAGGGCATCCACTTTGTCCTTCCCCGACTCATTTTCAGGCTTAAGAATTATTGAAGCACTACCGCTCAAATTTGCGTGCGACTGATTACAGTCAGAAGAACTTGAAACTTTCTGCCGCTTGGGTTTGATCTCAACCACCTTCTTCAGTAAATCCTGTTGTCTACATTTCCATAAATAAAATACATATATGAGATTGAGAACGAAATGGTAGGATGCTAAATTTATGTTTTGGTTTCAAGAAATACGTCTACCTGATCCCACTTCTTTGTTTGGGCTCGACACGAAGTGACAAGGGAACCGATGCAAGGGAGGAGTCTGCTAGACTTGCAGCTTTGTGTACATTGGTCAAGTAAAACATGAGAGAAACAAGGGGAGGACAGCACCAAGGATATGAGAATATTTTAGAGTGTCGCAAATGTTTGAAATAAATTATGTCTGAAGTGATTATAACCATACAACTAAGGCCTTCTTTGGAAGTTCCTTTAGAAGGGCTAGAGGTCCTTCTGACAACTATTTTTGTAGAAAAGGAACTTTTATAGTGCATTCTAGAGAAGCACTCACTTAGGAAACACTTCGAAGTGCTTTGAAGTCTTACAAAAGCGCTTATGAGTATATGTTATTCTGTGGAAGCACCACCAAACAAGACCCAAGTGCTCCAACATCAAACGACTTCCGGAGAAAATGTATCAATATGGTAAGAAATATAGGAATTTAACACATAAACATAAACAGGAGTTTACAGATACTACAGAATACAAATAAAGATAAATAAAGAGTAAACTGAAAAAAAAGATAAAAATGAGTGTAATAATATAGAAAAAATCTTTTTGGAGTTTGGAATGAAAATGGGGACAGAATAGGGAGTTACACAGGCAACAAATCATCTATTCCTCTAGGACTCAAACATCACAATCTGTAATAATAACAGACCATCGGGCTGCCAGAAACCAAACGATAACATTTTCTAGGGACAGAAGAAAACTCAAAACATATAGCATTATAGTCTGGCCCAATAACTACTCACATGGGCAAGAAAATAGAGTATAACAAAAACGATAAAATTCACAGTGCTACATGCAGTAAAATGCTTGTACCCAGAACACTTATGTGCAAATTGTGCATGTGAAGACACTAGAAGCAATTTAATAAAAGGATATCTTAAATGCAGCAAATGCTCGTTTCTCGGTTCGACGAAGGAGGCGTTCCGCATCCTCCTCAGCTTCCATCTGCTCCTTGAGATACAGCAGGTCATCACTGTCCAAGGCTGTATATGCAAACTTACAACAGATTGCAATAAAGTAAAGAGCTAAACATACAGAGATTCAAAATGGGCTGTAGTGTGCCTAAATCCACTTGTGGGTTCAAGGCTTCAAGCACACATGTAGAGACATAGAAACAAAGATGCTTAATGTAGTTGTTGTGTGTGCCCTGAATGCACATGAGAGAGGGAGAGAGAGGGGGAGAAAGGGAAAGAGAGAGAGAGTACCGCCTCGGCCATGAAGGTATCCTCCGCGTTCTCCTGCAACCTCTTGCATCTGCTTGCATTAACCACCCAAAAGAAAAAGCCAAGATCCCTGCCAGGGCATGTTATCAGAAAACTCTTCTCAAAGTTTGAAGAAAGTGCATATTCATCATAGATGCAAGTGAGGTAGAAACTACAGCGTACCATAAATTAACGTAGAATACACCTAAATCACCCATAATTCCAGAATAAAAATCAATCGTCAATAATGAACTAATTCTAGTTAACTTTACCAATAATGAACTAATAGCTCTCATATATGAGATCCAACCACTGCAATCCCTTACCCCATACAAACCAGAGAGAAACAAATTCAAAACTGATAATTTTTTACATTTTAATTGTATAACTAAGCTGTAATTGTATGCCTTTTTATTCCTGATCGTTTCAAATTGACATGGTTATAACTGAGAAACATATACATAATAAAATTATCACAAATAGTCTTTTGGAGGCTGGTTATAGAAATTTGATGCTAACAGTTGTGCAGAGTAGAATCTGAAAATACAAATATGATACTTCAAATTAATATTAGAGACGAAACAGAGTTTGCAGTAGTCATGTAGATTATCGAAATACTGGAAAGTTTCAGTGTATTTAAGTCCATCCAACCGACGATGGACGCAAGTGAAAATAGTAAAAAGAAAGAAAAAAGGAAGAAAAAGAAAAGAAGGTAAAAGAAAGCCCTAACCTTGGCGACCATGCGTTGGAATGTGATGTCTTCGTCGTCAATCTTATCCTTCCCTTTTCCCCACTTCTTATCTGCCAATGATTGCCACAAACAATCATCAATTCATCAATTCAAGATTCATCAAAACCGAACAACAACGAAAGACAAAAAGAATGAAGCAATTAATTGCAGGAAAAAAGAAGAATTACCTTTTGGGTCGGTGAGATTGGTGTACTCCCGAACTTCTCTGCCTGCCATTGCGCTGCTCTCGTCGTTTTATCTGGGGGATGAAGTGCAGTACCAGATAATTAATTGAAATTCCCAATTCTTTTCTAATTAGGGTTCAGAGGCCAAATGATGAGACTCTTCCAGTTTCAGAGTCAGCGCCTGCTATGTTAATCTGGGCAACACAAGATATAAACTGCAATTGAATGAAGTAAACAAACAACAAATTTTATGGAAGGAAAGTCGGACGAAATTTAAGATTATTAAAAGAGTTGTTTGTTTTTTGTTTTTGTTTTTTTTTTTTTTGTTTTTTTTTTTTTTTTGGAGAAAGTATTAAAAGAGTTTTTAAAATGATGAAAATTAAAAAGAAGAAAGTTTATTTTTTAAAATTTACGAATTTTTTTGTTTGGTTGACTTAGATGAAAAATGAAAAATGAAATTTGAATATAAAATTTGTTATTTTTAAACTCTTACTTATAAAAATTTGGAATTAACACACATTTACATGGAATTAAAACTTGAGAATCAGAAGTCTCCAATTCTAGAGTTTTATTTATTTTTTATTTTTTATTTTCATGTGAAAATTCTAAATTTCTATGTTTATGAATCTAAATAAGGGAATTGGTACATGTCAATTTATAAATTCTGATTTTTGTTAAAATTTCAAGTTTATTTCCTTTATCCAAATATAGTATAAGGGTTCATCTCCTCTGCATATGATATGGGTCAACTTCAATAAATCTCAAACTTTGGTTTTTATGACGTGAAACTTGGGGCACTGATGAGTTTTGGAATGAATTATAATGAATCCGGATCCTCGTTGGATCCTTTTTGTGAGGATTCAAGAATCTATAAATCGTGTCCGTTCATCGTACATTGTGCAGTTATAAATTATTTTAAATTATTATTTTTTAAATAAAACACAAATAGTAACTGACAAAAACTGACCGCACGATGTACGATGAATGGACACAATTCACGAATCCCCATGATCCTCACAAAGAGAATCCGGAGAGGATCCTGTTGGAATTATAATATATTATGAGTGTCCTTTTTTCTTTTTTAGTGATACAAACGATATATTTACATTTGGTTACCCATTGTGTGCTTAGCCAAATTTTTTCTCCCCTTAGTGTAAATGTGACATCCCGTGCCAGGATTTTTAGATCGCACGTGTGAATTTACTTATTTGCCCCTAGTTCATTTTCGTCACGTGTGTTGGTTGTTTTGTGTATTGTGGCATGTGTTGGGCCACACACACACCTGCACATTCACTGTCTCTCTCTACCCTTTCTCTGTCTCTGTCTCTCATCTCTCTCTCCCTTCTCGTTCTCACAATACGTACGAACAAACTCACAAACCACCAAACCATCACAGATCGAGGGAACCAAGACCACCCTCGTGCTCGTGGGGCTGAGAGGAGTCCAGTGGTACCATTTTCAGGTAAGGTTGTAGCCGTTTTCACGTCGATTCGACGAAGTCCGTTTTAGTTACTATTCATGCAAACTTATTCTAGCATGTTTTTGGACTTTTGAAGCTTGTAGTTGTGTTTGTGAGGTCCCAAGGAACCTCGGAGTGTATCGTTGGACGGAAGTGGACGTCAGAATAGCCTAGTTCGAGCTTGGCCGATTTTGGAGTTTTTGGACAGGTATAATCTTGTAGTTTTAGACCTTAAAACTTGTTTGGACGTGTTCTACTAGTTCTAAGGTTTAATTTGGTGCAAGAAACGTGAAAAATGGTGGAAAAATGAGCGAGAAAACCCAAGTTGCAGGTTTTTCCAGTTTCCTGCGCCGGCGACGTCGCCGGAGACTGAACGGAGAAGGTGACGGAATATTCCGTCAATTCTGACGGAATATTCCTGATGCCGTTAACGGAATCTGTCAGTTTTGATGGAATATTCCTAACGGCGTCAGTTGACGCCGTCAGTGTGCGCCACACGTGCCTGCGCGTGGCCGGCGCGTGTGGCCGTGCCTTGGCCGGTGCGTGGGGGCGCGTGCGGCGGAGGAAAATTTTTCTAAAAATATGGTTGTGATCCTGAGGTTGTGTAGAGCACGTTGGTATATTCAATTGTCCATTTTGAGCAATGTATGAGAAGTTATTACGAGAAGTTGGTTATGTGCTTTAAAGTTAACGTTTTTATAGTTATTTCGCATATAGGTGACACGTACCCCGAGGAAGAGCGTTCGCACTCGAGGCAGGGGGGCTACGACCCTTCCACGTACCAGTGAGTGGGCTTTTGTTTTCCGTATATACCTATATACTATATTTTTCCCAGAATTTAATAAATGTTTATTAGTTTATGCCATGCATTACTTCATCATTATTCTTGCATCGATGGTTATATTAGTAGTTGCATATATTTATGCATATGCATATTGGGTGCTGTGGACGCACAGGTAAGTGCCAGGTAAGTGGTATTTATATTTACATTCAGCAGTAGTTTGAGATGATTAGAGAGCTCATAACCTGCACCCCCGGTGTTAGTGCTCCCGCCCAGAGTAGGGCACAGTCCTTCACGTGATGTTCACCTCCCGCACCACACGCTCAGCTTGGATCCAAGTTAGGTGCACAGTCCTGTCGTACAGACCACTTTAGGTGGTTCCGACTCGTAGGTGACCCGCGATTATTCGTACAGCCTTCACGTGATCGTAGCACTAGAGCGTATATATATGTTACACCCAGGCCTGTCGTACAGACCACTTTAGGTGGTTCCGACTCGTGGGCAGGTTCAGATATTGAGATTGAGATTTGAGCTCTAGATGCAGCCGTACAGGTCACGCTAGGTGACTCCGGCTGCTAGATGTTATGATATTGATATGTTTATACCTGGGCACTTGCATATCGTTGTGAGATTTCGGCATGGCATATTATCGATCATGATTGACATACCTTTGAGCATGTTTGGCATATTTATACATACGTATACATGTTTATTTTCTGGGAAGTGTACAGGTTTTACGGCGAGGGGTTAGAATGTATTTCTATAAATGGTTTTCGAAAGATTTGTTTTTGCCCACTCACGCTTTTGTTTTGCGCCCCTCCAGGTTCTAGTAGATTAGCAGTTTCGGTGGTATTCCCAGAGGATTCTTCCGGCTTTTCCGACAGATACTCACCAGCGTAGGGTCACCTTCAGGTGTACTTTTATTCGCAACTTTTCCTTTGGGCTGCTGTAGACCTGCTCTGAAATTGTATCTCACTTGCTAGCACTTGTTTTAGTACTTTGTATGCTAGTTTTAATTATTTCGTACTTTTAAATTACTACTTTCTTAGCTTCCGCACGTGCACATGGCTACGTCACCTTAGTGTGACGGCCAGCACGCTCCAACCTCGGTCGGGGTGTGTCAGTAAAAATATATCGATGTTAAAAAAAAAACAATATATTTACATTTGAGAGTGGAGAAATAATTTGGTAGTGAAAATGTTATTCACGAAATCTGAACTTAAGGCCTCTCACTTTAAGTGAAAAGGAATATTACTAAATCGCTGTACTAAGGAAAAATATGTGTTTTTTTTACCCCCTAATTGTGTCTCTAGATGTCCTTGTTTCTCTAAACACCTAATTTACTTCACACATTTTTTTTTGACACCCAAAATAATTTATTAAACTTCCAAGAATACCTTGTTTTACTTTTTTATAAATATATATTTTATTTTATTTTTTTGGTGAACCGGATACATTCATAACTAGGGCAAGAGCCAAGAATACAAGGAAGCCCACAAAGAGGCAAGCAACAAGAAATAAGGACATACATATAGTAGTGGAGGAGGGTACACAAGTGTAAGACGCTGACGTCGCCCCCTTCACTACCGAATACAAAAAATTAAGGAGGACAATGTAGCTCATTATTGTTCAGAACATGAACCAGCGAAGATGGGGGTCAGTTAACCCAAGTCAAATCGCTCATCTCCGTATTGCTTCTCAACGCCAATCGGTCCGCCGCCATGTTAGCCGATCTTGGAACCTAAGATCGCGGCAAGCCTGAAAGGACTCCCCAAGTCGCAAGATTTTGACAAAAGTAGGGAAGGCCTCTCAACTGCCAATAAATAAGGCATTCAACAAGCAAGAAATATTCTTCTTCGAGTCAGACTCAACAATAATCATTTCCATACCCATCGAGCTAGCAAAATTGCAACCATGTAAAATTGCCAGTGCCTTCGCCATTGCAGCACTTGGAGCTTTGATCTTTATGACATACCCCAACCAAGATATCCAAATGACACCTGAATGGCACGTGTTGGCCGACATCCAAGGGTGACAAAAGCCATGAGTCTGAGAAACTGTGAGGATATGAAGGAACAAGCAATACAAAAATTATGCAAGAAACAACATTCACAACGAATGCAGAACACTAATAAGCAATAATAACAATGCATTCAATTTAAGTGTGAATGAAACTAGGTATTCAATGATCATGAATATGTCCAGAGCACACTACTAAACGAAAGTGCTAGACCGAAGTAAAACAACAAGTAACAATGATCATAAAAGGAATCCATACTTCAGTGGAGAGATGCAAGGTCACTGGTAGGGAAATGCCTCGAAACTTGGGTCATACTCTTCGTCGCTATGTCCCGAGGGGACGCAAAATATAAAAGGTGAGTGGGCCATAATTTATTATTCTTGAACTTACTACACCCCCCAACCCCCCTCCCCCCCCCCCCGACGCACGCGTTTTGAAAACATATATAATACCACATAATAGGTTTTTCCGAAAACTCTACATGCCATGCAAACGTTCATAAAATCACTACATATAAAACCGTGCTCAGAAATGAATATCGCTGTCCTAATGCAAATTTGTAAAAATACATCATATTGTACTTTCTAGGGGTATCATAGTCACTTGAAGGCAATACCTGTCCATCACTAAATGTGAGGCTGTACGATACTGGGTTACGCCAATGAAGAAACCATGGTCCATCACCCGAAGGTGAAGCTGTACAACTCCGAGTTACGCCGGAGAAGAGGATATATAACATCACACAACGACACGAGCCTAGGACTAGTGAAGCTGGGGGTATATCATCAATATAATCAACTCCTCATAAGCCCGAAGGCAGTATATGTCCATCAGCCGAAGGTGAAGCTGTATGACACTGGGTTACGCCAGTGAAGAAAACCATGGTTCCTCACCCGAAGGTGAAGTTGTATGACTCCGGGTTATGCCGGAGAAGAGGTATATACACAAATCTCCTCAACTGTGTCCTATGGCCATAAACATCTACATACCCCGGTTATGTGGATGTGTTGTATGATAACCAGCTAGATACGTACCAAA